CCCCCCCAGGATGTCCCCAAGCCCCCCGGGGGTGTCACACGGTGGTGACCGAGAGCAGGGGGTGCTCCAGGCGCCCCCCGTGCTGCGCCAGCATCATCTCCTGGATCGTCACCCAGTTATCCAGGATGCGCCGGCTCCTCTTGCGCAGCCCCCGCCGCGACCCCTGCCCGTGCTGGGGGGGCTCCGCCGCCCCTCCCGCGACCCCCCCGGGCCCCGCCGGGGGCTCGGGCCGCCCTTGGAGCAGCAGCTCCCGGCGCCTCCGCTGCTCCCGAGCCCGGGCCAGGTGCTGCTTGCGCTGCTCGCGGCTCCAGTAGCGCCCCGTTTTCAGCTCGCTCCGCGCGTCGTCGTCGGTGGAGCCGCCGCGTTCCTCCAGGATTTTGATGGCCCGGGCTTTGAGCAGCCGGTCCCGGCCGGGCCGCTTCCCGCGGGGCCCTTTGGCGGTGCCCGGAGCCGCGGGGAGCGGAGGAGCGGCGGCGGCTCCGAGGCCGCCCCGCAGCAGCAGCGGGGAGCTGCGGGAGCTCTCGCCGGTGTTGTAGGCGCTGGTGCTGTCGCGCTCCGGAGCTTCGGCGATATCGGCCAAAGGCCCCTCGACCCCCCCGACCGGGCGGGGGTCTCGCCAGGCTCGGCGGCCTCGCTCGCGGAGCCGCTCCAGCTGCTGCGCCCGCAGGAGGTGCCGGCATTTGAACTCCAGGTGCCGCAGCTCCTCCTCCAGCCGCGCCAGCTCCGCCCGGCCCGCGGCGCCCGCTCCGCGCCCGCGCAGCGCCCGGTAGCGCCGCAGCTCGGCGGGGCTGAGCGCGGGCAGCGGCGGCGAGGCCGCTAAACCCGGCCCTAAACCCGGCCCTAAACCCGCTCCTAACCCCGGTGCCAACCCCGGTGCTAAACCCGGTGCTAACCCCGGTGCCCAGCCCGGCTCCGCGGCCGCCCCGCGCCGCCCGCCCGCTCCGCTCCCGGCTCTCGCCGCCGCGCCTTTGCCGTGCAGCCGGGGCAGGTTTTGGGGGGAATTCTGCGGGTTTTGGGGCTGGCGGCGGGGCGGGGGCGGCCGCGGGGGCGGCGGGGGTCCCTCGCCGGGCTCCTCGCCCAGCAGATCGTGCTCCGAGCTCTCCTCGTTGCGCGTGGACTCGTCCGTGCGCCCCACGCCGCTGTCGGGCTCGGCCCCGCGGCCGCCGCCGGGCGTGGCCGGGCTGGGGGGCTGCGGTGGGGAGGGGGCGTCGGGAGGGACCCCGGACAGAGCGGGACCCCCAGCACCCCCTTTCTAACCCCCCCTTTTAACCCCCCCAAACT